GCAGGATTCAATGTGTAGGTTTAGGAGAATGGTAAATGTTGTTTTGTTGAAGAAATATGAAATAGTATAATGTTTATCCATCACAATTGTTTGAGAAAGATTTGATGTTTACTTTTTTATTAATTTTTTGTTCGTTTTGTTACGTAAAGATTATTATTGTTTGAATTTATTTGATGGAGAAAAGGCGCAGATATAAATTTTTCTTCTTTCTGCTGCCTTTCATTTTATTAGTTATGTGTATTTTTATTGTGTATGGAGTTTGTTTTTCTTTTAAATAAATAAATAAATAAATAAATAAATAAATAAATAAATAAATAAACACATTCTGCTGTCATCAGTGGTTGTGTGCTTTCATTAGATCAGCATCATTGACTTCGATCAGCTTCTTAAAGCAGGATTCTTTATGGTTTCTTTTTTTTTTCCTTTTTTTTTTTTTGATGGCTTCCCTTCTCCCCCTATAGCCATCCTCTCCACACCGTTATTATGTTTTTTTTATGATAATAGGAGAAAAAGAAGAAAAAAGAAAAAGTGAAATGCATTGAGAAAGAGTGAAAAAGAGATTAGAAGATATGTAAAATATTTGTTGAGAAAACACAAGACAGCACACCGGACTTCTCGGCTCCACACCTACAAAACAAAGATAGCAAAACCACAGCAACAAAAATGCATAACTTTGTAATTATAATGACTCAAGCCTTGCTGAAAACCATACCCATTTACATATACAAATATATACATAACCATACCCCTACCTACATATCCAAACACTTTCATATACATACTTACATACAAATACATACATACCCACATACATACCCATACATATACATGCCCATATACATACATGCACACATACATACACATATGCACATATCCTTCGTCAGTGCCCGAATAGAAAACCCAGGGTGTAAATGCCTGTTTGTGTGCAGTTGTGATCATGCATGGATCTCTCCCGTGGAATGTTTCAAAGTGAGTGTGGGGGGACCACAGACGCGACCCGCAAAGCCGGAGGCCGACATAAGGGAGATCAGTGCCAAAGACCCCGAGAGGGACCCCAAGCACGCAGCCCCTAGGGACACCCGCGCCGGAAGGGGCGCCCACCCACCCCCCAAAGAGGACCACCGGAGAGAACCGGAAGAGCCCCACCAGCGACCACATACAGCAACCCCCGGGGCCAGCAGTGGCGATCTCACAGGCCCCGCCGGTACCCACCGCGCCAGAGTGGATCCAGGCACCGACACAGAGGCCCGGGCCCCCAGGCCGCATCCCCCCCCAGGCCAAGGCCCGATAGGGCCAGGGGGAACCCAGCCCCACCGGGCAGCCACCGGGCCGAGCCGGCACACGCCCAAGCACCCAGCCCCGGACAACGAGAGCCCCCAGCGCGCCGGTGGGCAAAGGTACAACCCACCAGAGGACAGCACGGCAGGGGAGGATTCTTTATGGTTTCTTCTGCTGCTGTTCTTGTAAATTTTATACGTTTCTCTGTGTTTCCTGATTTTATGGTCCACTTTTTGCCATAACGCACACACTTCTTTGGAAAAGGAAAGTTTACTACAGTTTTCTCTGTTTGCAGAGGAATGCTGGTACATCGTCTTGTTTATTTCAGTATTTTTAACTCCAGTAAATGTTTTGCAGAGCCAGGTACAAGTGGGCGAATTTGCAAAATCAGCAAGGGATCAAAAACTTATTTCCCCCACTGTATGATGTCATGTTTTTATCTTGAGCTCCATAAAGGACGTCAACAATGAAAGTGAGGAGAGCCTCTTTGTTCACAGTAAACAGATCTAAATCTTTATCTCTCTTCAGCGGCTCGTATGTGGTCGTGTCACTCAGGAGTATCATAACCTTCTCATGGTACTGGTTCAGAATAACTGTGCACCTTCCTTTGTCTGCTGGAAGAATGATGATGTTCTTGTCCTTGCTGAGGGTAGTGAGAGCATCTCTCTCTTCTCTGCTGATATCAGAAGGTGGTGGTTTGGCGATGCTGAGGCAGGATGAAACTTTATTCCTGAGTTGCTCTGCTTCAAATCCTGGGATTTTGTTGTTTCGAATGCCTGATTCTGTGGCTGCGATCATCTCAACCAGAGGAACTCTTCTTGGTGCGACCGCAAAGTTCAGTCCTCAGATAATAACAAAACAAGTTATAAACTCCAAATCTATAGACTAATTAAAAAGAATGACCAAGAAGAGTTGGCAGCCTGTTTGAGTTTTATTGAAAAGAGAAAACCTTAAATATTTCCTGAATGAGACAACAAAGACCTGAACCTGCTCAAACTTTATACAACAGTTTATATTTTCATCTAATTCTTTTTGTTTTCACTATTATTTTACAACTAAGATGATTTTTATTCTTCATGTTCTTAGAACAAAGAGAAAATAAACTGTAGTTAACAGTAAAACCCTGAAAGGATATTTTAATGCTGAAATGCTGCATATTACCATCATATATTACTGTTTGATCAAATATAATCTGAGAACCACTAATCTGGCATCAACTGAAAAATAAAAATAAAATAAAATCATAAATTAATTGATAGTTTTTTTTATATAATCACGTCTTCTGTCAGTCTGCTGCTCTGATCGTCTCTGTGTTGTTTTATATTCTATTTTAATATTCTATTGAATTTATTTTCTCTTTGATTTTTCTTTATGTAGGATTAAATATTTTTCATTCTTAAGATATTTAAAATCCTCTCCTGACTTAAAACCGTAATTTGAGCTTAAATCCATCTGTGAAGAGAACAAAGAGCAGAGAGGACAAAAGGTCAGTTTTAGTGCTGCTGACCCCCCCCCCTGAAGAGGGTCCATAATCGGTCCTACAGGACTGGGGTCTGGAAGGACCTGGGGCCTCATACATAAAGGAGTGTGCAGCTTTCACACTAAAAGTTGACGTACGGACAAATTTAGAAAAGTGTGCTGCACCGAAAAACCTCAGATGTATAAAACTGTGCGCACCTTTCCTTTATACATCCCAATGAAGGTGGAACTGAGCGCACCTGAGACTCCTCCCCTGACACGCCTCCATTTAAATCTGTAAAATAGATGTAAATGTGTCCAGTGTGTGAGATTCTCCTCAGATTGTCCTCTCTGTGGGATCAGAAATGATTTTTAGATGCAGGAAATTTATACATTAAATGGAGAATGAGTGGGAAAACTGTCTAAATAAGTAGTGGAGTGTAAAAATGTGTTTGCCACACGCAAAGGAATTGTGTGTGTGTGTGTGTGTGTGTGTGTGTGTGTGTGTGTGTGTGTGT